GCAAAAGCTGTACTCATCTCCTGAGGTGAGCTTTCAGCAGAGCTGGCTGAACTCGGCAGCGTTTGTATCGGCGGCTCATTTCCATGCAAACATTGAGCGCTCTGAGAAGTTTATGGCTCCTCTGCCCAGCCGAGTCCTGCAGGAGGCCGACAGTCCACCCAACATCGCAGATCTGAGCACTGAAGAGAACCACACACTCTACATCTTCGGCTGGATGAACAGCGTCAACCAGCTGCTGGGTCAGTAAAACAAGATTTACACTCTTTACACTGCACTGCATTCTCAAACACACCCTTTACAGTGTTCTACACTCTCAAACACACTCTTTATACTGCACTCTCAAATGCACTTTTTAAACTGCACTACAATCTTCACACTGCACTGCACCCTCAAATACACTCTATACACTGCACTGCACCCTTAAATACAACGCAACGGAATCTAAAATACACTCTATACACCGCACTGCACCCTTAAATACACCGCACTGCACCCTTAAATACACTCTATACACTGCACTGCACCCTTAAATACATCGCACTGCACTCTCAAATACACTCTATACACTACACTGCACCCTTAAATACACCACACTGCACTCTCAAATACACTCTATACACCGCACTGCAATCTCAAATACACTGCACCTTACCCTTAAATACACTCTATACACTGCACTGCACCCTTAAATACACCGCACTGCAATCTCAAATACACCGCACTGCACTCTGAAATGCACTCTATTTACTGCACTCCACCGTTAAATACACCGCACTGCACCCTTAAATACACTCTATACATTGCACTGCACCCTTAAATACACCTCACTGCAATCTCAAATACACTCTATCCACTGCACTGCACCCTTAAATACACTCTATACATTGCACTGCACCCTTAAATACACCTCACTGCAATCTCAAATACACTCTATCCACTGCACTGCACCCTTAAATACACTCTATACACTGCACTGCACCCTTAAATACACCTCACTGCAATCTCAAATACACTCTATCCACTGCACTGCACCCTTAAATACACTCTATACACTGCACTGCACCCTTAAATACACCACACTGCACTCTCAAATACACTCTATACACTGCACTGCAATCTCACATACACTGCACTGCACCCTTAAATACACTCTATACACTGCACTGTACCCTTAAATACACCACACTGCAATCTCAAATACACCGCACTGCACCCTCAAATACACTCTATCCACTGCACTGCAGCCTTAAATACACCACGCTGCACTTTCAAATACACTCTATACACTGCACTGCACCCTTAAATACACCGCACTGCAATCTCAAATACACCGCACTGCACCCTCAAATACACTCTATCCACTGCACTGCACCCTTAAATAAACCGCACTGCAATCTCAAATATACCGCACTGCACCCTCAAATACACTCTATACACTGCACTGCACCCTTAAATAAACCGCACTGCAATCTCAAATACACCGCACTGCACTCTCAAATACACTCTATCCACTGCACTGCACCATTAAATACACCACACTGCACTCTCAAATACACTCTATACACCACACTGCACTCTCAAATACACTCTATACACTGCATTTAACTCTCAAATACACTCTTTTTACACAGCACTACACTCGTTATACTGAACTGTACCCTCAAATACACTCTTTAACCTGCACCACACTCTCCAATACACTCTTTACACTGCGCTACACTCTAAAATACTCTCTTTACACTGCACTTCACCCACAAATACAGTCTTTGTACTGCACTACATCCTTAAACACATCCTTTACACTGCACCCTCAAACACACTTTGCAATGCACTACACCTCCAAACACACTATTTACACTACACTGCATTCTCAAATAGTCTCAAACAAACATCATACACTGCACTGCACTCTCAAACACCCTTTACACTGCACTACACGCTCAAAAACACTCTAAGTGAACATTTTGTGAACTAGTTGGGGCTCCTGAACACCTTTGAGCTGCCATTGGTCTGTGAAAGTTACACAATCAGTGAGCATGTCTTGGAGCTCCGCCTTCTTTGAGGTGCTTTGCATCCATACAGTTCAGAGTCAGACCAGAGAACAAATCAACACAACAACATTAAGTTTGCATTATGAATAAACTGGATGGTTGAGTAGCAGAGCTGGCACAGATATATCCGCACCTGTACTATCACTCTCCGAGAGATTTTTAAGACTACAAGCATAATAAGCACAACTGTTTGGTGCCACATCTGATAAACGTCTGAACATTGTTCATTCAGTGTTTGTCTGCAGCAAATATACAACAATGTGGCGAGCCACAATGGTGTTTCTCGCTGGAGAAGGTTGTTTGCCAGATGTTTATGAAATTGTTCTTCTCTCAGCCCATTATATATACTAGTGTCCTGATGTCCCAAAAACATGCACATGCACACAAACCTCACACACACACACATACACTGACTCTCTCTTTCTCACACACACAGGGAGTAGTGTCTGTCAGTAGTGCATGTGTCTGTTTGTGATTTGATCTGTTGGTCTGCTGGTGTGTCTCCAGGCGGCTCTCTGGTGAATTTGTGGCGTAAGGCCATGTGTTCGGCTCAGGCTCGAGAAAAAGGTCAGGCTCTTCTTCACGACCTCATTCTGGACCCAAAGTTCCCCGGGTCCAGCCTTTGGTCCATTCTAAGCGAGATGTCCACCAGCTGCTGACACCGTGGTAAAGAGCAGAACACACACCGATCATCATGCTCACTGATATCTGACCGTCATCACTGCTGTCAACATGCACGACAAAATAAAACAACATGCAAACACGCCTCCTTTCTGTCTCATTTATACTACACCCCTGTCTGTGAAACGTAAAATAAGTGTCCCCAGAGTGTTTGTGTGTGAAGTTTCAGCTCAAAAAACACCAATAGTGTTTTATGACTCTCTGAAACTGACCCTTTAAGGCTTTGACAACAAAGGTTAATGCACACTGAATCGGAAATTTTCATTCGTAAATTTCGCACGTTAAAAAATAAATTTGACCTCGTGTTGTGTAAATTGTATTGACACACTGCCTCTGAAACTTTCATCCGTCATTAAAAAATTCAAACCGGGTTTGTTCTTTCCGCTTTTCGTATCCAAAAAATTGCTTTGAGAGGTGTTTTGACAGTTCAGAGCCACCGTACAAGCGAAAAGCTAAATACAGAATGCCGTTATTTGAGCTACAGATAACTTCATGACAAACACAGTGCATAAAATAAGCCAGAATGTGGCTCCCCTGTGTAAGTGTTTGTGTCACTGTTGCCAACTATTTTCAACGAAAAGGCGCTAAGCTCTGCCTGAAAAGTCGCTAAATTACGTCATATGCAGGCCCACACAGAACCTGCACGCGCAGAATTCCGCAGATTTTCCGCAGAAATCCGCAAATTTTTAGCCTATCTTTAATTCTGTTTATTTACTTGAGTAAATGTATAAATTTATATTTATCCAATTTTTATTCAGTAATTTATTACTTTTTGTTTAATATATTAAGGTCTTAGTTATGATACTCCGCTGGATACTCCCAAAATAATTCAGCAGAAATCCGCAGATTTTTACCAAAATTCTCAGCAGAAATAGCAAAAAACGTCCGCAGATTCCGTCTGGCCCTGGTCATATGTCAATTTGCATATTACTGACGTCATCGTGTTCTACCGTTTCTGTTTGTTTAACAGCCTATGGTCAATAAAGGGGTAGTTAAATTTGCACTATGCTGTACATTTGCATGTCAATTTAACAAAATTGATTGCTGTTTGAATCCAGTATGTCAGTATAGATGTGTAGTGAATTTGCAGTAATCTCTCAAATAAACTCAGACAAGTTCCGAAACGCTCACTTAAAATATCTTGTTATTGTGAACAAGAAAAGAGTAAACGGTCAAATTAAATAGTTAAAATTAAGGAGAAGCTGATCGGTTTGACTGTACAAGGGAAATACCTCCCACTGCCGGTGCTAAATCATTTGCCGTCAGTACGCAGAGTAGGTTAAGTTGGCGGTTCATTCCGCTCTGGCAACCCTGGATTAATAAAGGGACTAAGCCGAAAAGAAAATGAATTGTAGATGAGATTTATTATATGCTGCTTTCTTTAAAAGTTTTAGCCATCAAATAAAGATTTTCCTCCAAGGTTGCACAATGAAGTATTTCTTACAAAATAATTAGGCAAATACTGCTACTTTGAAACACTTTTCAATAGGTTATTTCAAATATATTTTCTAAAATATCCACAAAAACACTTGTAGCAAATGTATTTTAGTTAATTAATTTTTTGGACATTTTTTTTTTGTGCATTCATTTATTTTCTTTTCGGCTTAGTCCCTTTATCAATCTGGGGTCGCCACAGCGGAATGAACCGCCAACTTATCCAGCACATGTTTTACGCAGCTAATGTCCTTCCAGCTGCAACCCATCTCTTGGAAACATCCATACACACTCATTCAAACTCATAAAATACAGACAATTTAGCCTACCCAATTCACCTGTACCGCATGTCTTTGGACTTTGGGGGAAACCGCAGCACCCGATTATTCATATTTTAAAATACATATATAAAAAAATAAAGTCTTTTATTTAGCAGACAAATGCTTAACTGATATGATATAATATAATATATATATATATATATATATATATATATATATATATATATATATATATATATATATATATATATATATATATATATATATATCTAATTAAAGATAGAGGATATAATATCTGCAGTTGAAAAAACCTCCAAATACAAAAAGGATGCATGGAAAAAAACGTTCTTGCTTTTGTAAAGATGACAGACAGACATCTCTGAGAACAGATTTTGCCTCCAAAACACCTTTTGTAATATTCTTAGAGCAAAAAAAAAAGAAAAAAGAAAAAAAAAGTTAGGACTGACACCCCATTATTTTGAAGAGTTTAAGTTAAAGCTACTTCTACCCGTTAAGATTCAAAAAATAAATAAATTCCTGACACATTCTTTAC